ATGCATTTCTGAGACACTCAGGCTGTTATCTACGTTTCTCTACTCCTTTTGTACTATGCATTTCTGAGACACTCAGGCTCTTTTATAAGCACCAAAGGCACACTCTGAATAATCCAAAACATGCCTACTCACAAGAACTGGCTTTAAAATAGTTTAGCATAGAATCATGTGCAGGAAAGATCGGAGGACAAAGAGGGAAAAAAAAGAGTCACAAAAGGAAAATGATAGAATTATTATTTTTAAAACGAAGCACATAAACTCACCTTTTTCATCTTGTACCACACATTGAGTTTTCTCTTGACAGTGTTTGGGTACCACCACAGTTGCTATCTCTTGAACATCTTTCATTAAAACATCACTATCTACTTTAAGAATACTTTTAAGTCTGCTGAGTTCCTTCGGGGCATTCTTTTTTCTCTTTTCTGCACGCATCTTCCGTTTCCACTTACTCCGTAAGCTTTTAGCCATATTTTACCTGAAAAGCTAACAGAAATACATATACAAAAGCAAAAATTTACCATTAAAAAAAAAAGGTAAATCCTTGGAAAACCAGGTCAAAAGGTATCTCTACAAAACATGAACAAACGGAAAGTAAAACTCTTCACTCTGTTCATGATTTATGATGGCACAATGAACAAATTATGTGAAGGTCAACATGGCATATACAGCCATTAAATAACAAGAGTACCCAATCAAACTCCCTACAGTCTCTGGCAAACAATAAGTCAGGCCAATTCTGAAAGCTCCTGGAGTTTCCATACGAGATGCAGAAATTTAATTTCCCCCCAAATGCAAAGAGCATTACCACTTCATATTTATGCAACAACTTCAAATTACAAAATGGTTGGCTTTTGTTTTTTCATGTTTTTTTTTTTTTTGTATTTTTTAAGTAGGCTCCACGTGGGCTTGAACTCAGGACCCTGAGATCAAGACCTGAGCTAAGATCAAGAGTCTGACTTAAATGAGTGAGCCATCCATGCCCCCCAAATGTTTTTACACTTGATTTCCTCCAAGCCTATAGGACATGTCACCTGTCTTCCTCATTATCCTCCCCTTAATTCAATGTAGCTATTTTAAACTTGTCTATTTCCACTCCTGCTGTTCTTCACCCCTTAGGCCTCAGCCCTGAATACTCCATATGGCGGTTAGTATGAGCTTTTTTTTTTTTAAGGGAGAGACTGAGAGTGCCAGCAGGGGGTTGGGGGAGAGGGAGAGAGATACAGAATCTTAACAGACTCCATGTTCACAACCCTGAGATCATGATCTGAGCTGAAATCAAAGAGTTGGATTCTTAACCAAATGAGCCATCCAGGTGCCTGTAGTGTAAGCTTTTAAAAACTTAGAGCTTTTCATTCTTCCGTGGAATTCTTTAATGACATCCCACCTCATATTCATGATCTACAAGATTATTTGTGACCTAGCCCTGCCTCCTTCAACTGTCTCACCTCATGCTCCAAGCTCCATCCCATGCCCCTCCATCCCCAAGTACCAATTACATCTGAAAAAAGTTCAATCAGTGACAACCTAGGGACAGTATGGGATGTAAGAAGGAATGGGAAGGAATTACAGGTATTATAAAGGGTTGGTAGGAAGCCTTTTGGGAGTGATTTATGACACTATCTTGATTAAGTTGATGGATGTTTGTATACAAATATCAAAAATTACATTACACACTTTAAACATGTGCAATTTATTATACACAATCAAGCAGTTAAATAAAACATTAAGACATGATTTTGGAAAAAAAGAAAAATTTAAAAGTCCAAACTACGTCCACTTTAGCACCTTTCCAATTTGCTGCTCCTATGCCTGCGAATGATCTTCCTAACGCTTGCTCCTTCGCTCAAGTACCTCAGAGAGGGCTTCTCTGACCTCCACCCCTATAGACTCCCCTCCTTTATTCTCCACCATATCACACTTTTCTTTCCTTTTAAATAGGAATCTGAAGTTATTTACTTTATTTTCTGTCATGTCCGGTGGACTGTGGGCTCCACGAAGGCAGGGACTAACTAAATAGACCTTGTTCATCGTTGGATGCCCCAATGCAGTGTGCATTTGTTGAATGGATAACTAGTGGAGTTACAGTTTTTGGGCGCCCATCACAACTCACCTCTGTTCCCCTGTCTACAACAACCCAAACTTCGAGAGGCAGGGATAGAAGGGTTGAGGTAAACAACAATCTTGAGGGCCCAGGTTAACCTGAGCGAGACTACCGAAGAAGAACGGCTCCACCACGCACAGAGCACAGGAAAGCCCGGGGGCCACCCCCAAGATCACGGGAGACCCTCGTCCCTGAAGCAGGTCTGCGTCTCCGTCGGGCTCAATCTTACCCAGAGAAGGATCGGGCTTGAAACAAGATTCTCTACCCACGGCGGGAACGAGCGCCAAGTTCCATTCCCCACTTGACCGGGAAATCAGAGAACTCACCGGGAAACTCAGATGCCTCACTGAGATTCACGCTGACCGGAAGTCTACGCACTTCCGCCTTCCGGGCAGCCCCTTCCACAAACTCCTGGGAGTCCCGGGCGGGCGCACTGCACGCCGGGAGCCAAGATGCCCCGGAAAGCCTTGAGAGGCGGGGCCTTCCGGAGTCTGGCGCTGACGTACTTCCTTTGATGGAAGTGTGACTTTGGAGCTTGACTCCTCCCCTATGGGTTTCCAAGGAGGATTTGGACAATGCGGAAAATAGCAAGTGGGGAGCGGGTGGGTTGTGCGTGAGCCGGTTAGCTCCGACACTCACCCCGAGAGCGATCCTGCCGGGTGACTCTGCCTGCCAAGTAGTGAGCTCAGAGCTGACCTTTACATCTCAGGTCCTGCATCACGGTTCACACGGTACTCATGGATTTCCTTAGACTGAATCATCCCAAATCACGTGGTCTTGGAGAATCGGAACTGAAATCATCTTTACTTTGAAGCCCTTAAATTTTCCCATCTGAAAATGGGAAATGATGATCTCATGAATGTACCCATTTGTCAAAACTGATAAGGAAGCAGAAGGCAAGCTAAGGACAAAGCATAAGCTGACACCCTGCAACCTCCCCCGACCCCCAACTCCTGGGTGGGACATGTGTGATATTCTTCCAGGAATCTCCGGTCTTAACGTTAATACCTTGCTAGAGTGGAAAAGAACCTTAACTTGACAATGGCAAGACTTCTGGTATCTTATAGGTATCTTAGAGGTCCATCCTCTTTAGCATATCAAAGTTCTTTTGAAACCTCCCTTTAAAAAAAAAAAAAAGAAACTCCTTTTTCCTTACTAACCACAACTCCCGAGTATATAATCATCACTCCTCAAGACCCTGGTGCAGCAGCTCTTTCTGCCCACAGGTCCTGGCCCCGTGCTTTAATAAAACCACGATTTTGCACCAAAGATGTCTCAAGAATTCTTTCTTGGTCTTTCTTGCACTCTGTGATAGGCTCTATGTTGGGTATACAAAGATGACTGAAACTAAACTACCGCCTTCAGGAACCTTCAGCCCCTGATGGAGGGACGAGGCTTAAAAGTCACACGGAACATTGCTTCAGCTCCCTCACCAAGCTGGAAGAAGCCCCTGGGACAGGAGGCACAGTGGGTAGCACTGAATACCGGACTAGAATTGCACTGGTTCCCCACCTTAAGGGCATCCTACACAACAAGCACCAGCCAGTAGGGCCTCTGCAGTCAGGCCTCTCCCATGGAACGCCCAACCTGAATAATCACTCAGTGAGGACTACAAAGGCTTCTGTGATTCAGATGGTGACTCCATGCTGTCCAGGTTCTAGGGGGTGAGGACTTCAAGGCAAAGCTCTACAAAGATGAACAAGCAAAATTTCCAGCTGTTCCAAGGCCCACAGCTGGCTGCTGCCACCACACTAATCCCCCAAAGTGCATCAAGTGGATCAAAGCCTGGTGTGAGGAGGCCTGCAGAAAAAAAAGAATGTACGCAGGCAGACAGAGCCCACTGCACCTTTCCCAAAATTACATTCCGTAAAAACAGTTCTCAGATACTGCTCTTTCTGTTTTCCTCCTACCTCTGGCTATACTTTGTACCTTGCATATGGAGTTGCCGATCGCTCTGAGTCCTGCTAATTCCACTTTTTAATATATTTCTGGAGTCTCCATATTTTCACCTTTACTTGTTGTAAGAAATTGAAGTTGTAGGTACCCTTTTATCCAGCAATTCTGCTTCTAGGTATATTCCCCTATCTAGGCAAACTCCTATCTAGGCACACTGGGACACACACAGGACAAACAGAGCAGCACTGATTTTGCCAGTAAAAAAAAAAAGGAGCCATATAAAATTCTTCGACAGGAAAAAGTATGAATAATTATGGTTCACCGATAAAATGTAATAGTCTGCATCAGTGGTTTTCAAACTTCTTGGTCTTGTGATCTCTTTACAATCTTAGAAATTACATTTGTCATATCAGAAATTAAAACAATTTTTAAAATTTTAAGTCCTTTAAAAAAGATAAATGAATTACATGTCTACATTATTTTTATTAAAAAACTATTTTCCAAACCAAAAAAAATTTACTGAAAAGAATGGCATTGTTTTACATTTTTTAAATGTCACATCTGTTTTTGCTTATTATCTCTAGTCACAATTCAGCGCCTTCTGCCTTTGGACTGCCAATAAGAATTAATAGTAGCGACATTAACTAAGCACTTAGTTTAGATGACATATCCATCTCATTTAATCCTTATAATAGTCCAATAAGGTAGGTATTACGATTCCTATTATAAAGATGAGGCAAAAGACCTAAGAAAGGATAAATAACTTGCCAAAAGTCACATCATCAGTTGGTTGCACAGCAAGGATTCCAATTTAAATGCTCTCACCCACTATACTACGTTAAACTTGAGCTGAGCATCATGCAACTGAGTATTCAATTATTAATTGATAAGGATGGAGTCAAATTTACATCTAAAACTCACCAAAGGCTAAATCTATATTATTAATTTATTTCAACTTAATAGCTAGGAAATGATGCTTAGTGGGTGTTATGGGCTGAGTTGTGCCCCCTGAGATTCATATGATGAAGTCTGTCTTAGTCTATTTGGGCTGCCATAACAAAATACTAGAGTCTGGGCAGTTATAAACAACAGAAATTTATTTCTCACAGTTCTGGAGGTTAGGAAGTCCAAGATCAAGGTGCTGGCAGATTCAGTGTCTAAAAGCCCTTTCCTGGTTTGAAGATTATGTCTTTTTACTGTTACCTCACGTGACAGAAAGGGTGAGGGATCTCTGTGGGGTCACTTTTCTAAGAGCACTAATCCCATTCATGAAAGCTCCATCCTCATGACCTAAGCATGACCCAGAAGCCCCACGTCCTCATACTAACACACTGGTCATTAAGTTTCAATATGTGAATTGGGAATGGGGGTGGGAGACAACAAACATTCAGACTATTACAAGGCCCTAAGCCCTAGTATCTCAGAATGTGACCATATTTGGAGACAGGGTGTTTACAGAGGTAATTAAGGTAAAATGAGGTCATTAGGGTAGGCCCTAATCCAATATGACTTGTGTCCTTGTAAGAAGAGGAAATTTGGACACGGACAAGTACAGAGAGAAAACCATGTAAAAACAGGGGGAGAAGATGACCATCTGCCAGCCAAGAGAGCGATCTCAGAAGAAACCATACTACGATCTCAGACTTCTAGCCTCCAGAACTGTGAGGAAATAAATTTCTGTTTAAGCCACCCAGTCTGTGGTACTTTGTTATGGCACCCTAGCAAACTAATATAGTGAAGGCATTTGCAAAAGTTTGCTTGGCCACTATAATTTTTATATGGAACCTGTACTTAAAAAAAACTAATAATGTCATGTTTTATGTCAAAATACCTGACTTTCAAGAAGACATCTCATTTTTAATTCATCACTGTATAATGAAATGTCATTAACATTTTAATGTAATGCTGAATAATTCGATGGAATTTACCTTTTATACTTTTTCCTTTCTAAATAATAAATAAGATCAAAATCTTCTAGTAAAAGGAAATTTATACTTTATAATGGTAAGGACACAAGTACTTTAAAATCAAAATCAAATCTAACATTAAGGAAAAATTTAGATAAAATCACTAGACACAGATAAACTGACAGTCTAATCTACTCAAGAAATTATTTTTGAATTGCAGATGAACAATCTACATATGGCAAATTTAGGATTGAAAAAACTGAAAAACAGAATTTTGATATCTCCCACCTGAGATTCTAAATCAAGGATTTAGAAATGAGATACCATAAAGAATAGTAAGATTTATATTATTAGTATATAATCTAGTAATTATATCACATATTTAATATTATATATATTACATATAATCAGAATTATTATTATAATCACTTTTATACAATAGTAATACTGATATTACTAGTATACTATATAATAGCTCAGAAGTACATACCATACGAAGAAAGTCACAAAAGTATTTAATAGTTAATTATAATCTCAAACTTTATTACTTAATGAATCAGTTTTCATATACTGCTTTCAATCACTTTTTATTAACTGCTTCCAAAAAGCGCAACAGGTGCAGGAATAGGTTGATGACATCCAAGTAGAGGCTGATGGCAGCTAACACATACTCTTCAGGTGACAGCCTATGCATCAGTGAGTGTGTGTCATAGATGATGAATCCACAGAAAAGCAGGGCTCCCACAGCAGCCAAGACCAACTCCATTGTTTGACTATAGAAAAATAACTATAGGCAAGAAGTTAATCAGTTTATATTTAAGAACCGTATTAAGCATACTTAAGTTACTTGCTCTTGAGTTACATATGCTATATACATATTTAATGCTTTACAACTTGGAATGCAAATGTTAAAATTAGAAAAAGGCAAGGCAGATCCATCCTCATTTCTATTGGATGAAAGGATGAATGGATGAATCAATGGATATCCTCCTTTCTATTAAATTACCCACAACTTCGAACAGTAGCATTCCAAATATAAATTATTTTAAAAAAACATTGCTTTTTCAGAATTATATGTGCCACTGGGAGGTTAGCAATTCCAAGTGAGGGCCTCTTTCTCTGTAATTTAAGTCATATGTTCATCTTTCTTTTAATCAATAATATTAACCTAAGACCTTGATTTTTTTTAAGATAATTTTTTAATCATTCTATATACAAATATTCCAGATAATTATAACTAAGTGTCCTATCATAAGAGTACCTCTTACAGCTTTTCGAGATTATTTATATTGACATGGCCAGAATTATATTTCAAGTTACTATTTTAAAAACAACTTACCTTCAAGATTCCTGACAAGCACAAAATCCACAAAACAGCAAACAGTCTATAAAAACAAAATATTAGTAATTTAGAATAGTGTTCCTTTACCAACTATGTAAACTGATGCAACATTTTCTGAAGAAATAAATCCATCCTGATAATTGCCAAAGAACAAGTAAAATATAAGAGTTCATAAACATACAATGAATACTGTAGAATACTCAGAAATTGAAAAACACAGCCATCTACTCAACATTTGTTTTTATGGTGAACAAAACTAATTGAAAGTACCGTCTTTAAAGTTTTCAACCAGAAC